GTTATCATCAATGGTAGTAACATAGAAACATAGCAATAACAATAACATTTTGTGGCACAAAAGAAATACTGCGGAGAAATGAGAGAAGAGGGGGGGGGAGTGGGAGGGAGGGAGGGAAAGCGTTGAGGACTGGGAAACAAGTATTTAACTCCGAACTTTGTGGAGAGAATAAAGCGAGAAGCGATGGCTGGGGCACACTTCACCGTTTGCTCCAAAGCGTTGGGAGGGGAGGTGGGTGGGGGGGGGGGGGGGGGGGGGGGGGGGGGGTATTTAAAAGAAGGAACGATTCTGTGTATAATGGGATTTGGTAATCCTTTGGATGGGTGGATGGGGGGCTTTGAACATGAGGGATTTAGATGTTGGGCGCGAGAAGACAGAGGGGAGTTTGGATAACAATAGTCCTCCATCCACCCCAACTGTCCTTTGGGAAGCTCTTGTCATCAATTTCAACATAGGTTTACGCGTGCAAAGCATAATGGGAAACAAGAATAGGCTTCCTCCTTCTTTCGAGATTTGACATCTCTATTCAGACCTTCCCGATCTCTGGTTATATGGGTTTGTAGAGAACCGTTGAGACAAACTTTTGACGATACCTTGATATTGCTGACAAGACAATCACTCCGTCCTAAGGTAATAGAAAAAGTAAAATTTCCACTACTGAACAATTCAAGCCCTGAGAAGACTGCTTATTTCTCAAAAGCACCCCGTGGCTTTGAGCTCTCATTCAGTTTAATGAAGAAATCAATGAGATATGAACCTGGGATCAAATCACAAAATTTTGTACCTGGGGACACGAGAAAATGATAAAGAGGATTTCATTCGTTAAATCAAAAGAGGACAACCTAACGTGTTGAAAATTCATATTAAGTAAAGCTAGGTTGATTATTTGGCTTCATTTTCTCTTCACGACTTAAGTAATTAATTAATTAATACTCTTTATACAGCCGGCTAATAAGTGCCCGATGAAGGGGACATGTATCCAAACATGGATTTAAAAAATCAAAGGAAATAAAGCCCTTTCATGATCAATTTTGAGCTAATTTTTTGCTTTGCTGTGGGACTGCATTAACCCTTTAACGCCCGAATTAGTTATTTTTCAAAAATGCACCTAACTGCACTCACGCGTGTCTCTCAGCAGACTGATGCCGCCGACGCAATAAGTTTTGGCGGTATCAGGCGAAGGTTTTAGACCTGTTGAACATGTTTCAAACGGTAATAGCGCCTTCTGCGACGAGTCTAGTGTCAACGAATAGAGGATCGTACTGTCATAAGGGGGTTAAAGGGTTAATATACAATACTACCCTTCTTTACTTTAAATATTGGGTGGGCAACTAAGTCATTGCCGTTTTTGTTGACAGATTCACTCTACTTTCTTTTGTTTTGTTAACGTGGCCAGAGCATCTAACCTATATTTTTTTATTACTGTATGGGCTTCTAGGTTAATTAGTAAAAAATATTTTTTGTTTAGTTCTTTAGTTTTGTTTTTATCCCAATTTAAAAATGAAAGAACTGGACGTGCACTTCCGACACATTTTATTGTATTACTTCCGAAAAGGCAAGAACGCATCGCAAGCACAAAAGAAGTTATGTGCCGTATATGGAGATGAAGCCTTAAAAGAAAGGCAGTGTCGAAATTGATTTGAAAGATTTCGTTCCGGTGATTTTTCACTGAAAAATTCATAACGATCTGGCCGCCCAGTCGAAGTGAATGAAACCCATATCAAGGTCATTATCGATTCAAATCGTCACAGCACAACACGAGATATTGCAGAGAAGCTCAATGTGTCGCATACATGCATTGAAAAAAAATTAAAAACCCTTGGTTATGTCAAGAAACTTGATTTATGGATCCCTCACCAGTTAAAGGAAATTCATTTGACGTAACGGATTAGCATCTGTGATTCGCCGCTACTGAAACGCAATGAGAATGATCCATTTCTGAAGAACCTAGTTACTGGCGACGAAAAGTGGATAGTTTATAACAATGTCGTTACTCGCAAGAGATCATGGGTGAAGCAAGATCAACCAGCCCAAACAGTATCAAAAGCAGCAGAGATTCACCAAAAAAAGATTATGCTGTCAGTCTGGTGGGATCACAAAGGAATTTTGTATTTTGAACTCATGCCGCAGAACCAAACGATAAATTCAAATGTGTATGTTGAAGAACACGAAAAACTGAAGGATGCAATTGAAGATAAGCGGCCGGCATTATCAAATCGGAAGGGTGTTGTTTTCCATCATGATAACGCAAGGCCCCCCCACACATCTTTGGTTACTCGGCAAAAATTATTGCAACTGAGTTGGGATGTTTTGCCACACCCACCATATAGCCCTGACCTTGCGCCTTCGGATTACCATTTGTTTCGTTCCATGCAAAACTCTTTAAATGGTCAAATTTTTAACAACGCGGATGATGTCGGATCACACCTTATTCAGTTTTTTAATAGCAAAGACCAGACATTTTACGAACGGGGAATTTTTACTCTGCCAGAACGATGGGAAAAGGTCATAGACAAGAACGGCCAATATCTAATTGAATAAAGTTATATTTTTAAACAAAAATTCCGAATTTGCCTTCTTATTTGAAATCGATAATGACTTAGTTGCCAACCTAATAACTTATTAAAAATTTAGGCCGCTGTCTTCTAAATGACCAAGTTCAATAAAACGTCGAAACATGGACTTAAATCTCATCTCAATAACGAGAAATGCCGCGGGAATGGTTTAAAATTCTGCATATCATACTAGAGCCTCGTCCTCACATTACAAGCAAACGACTGAATTGTTTTGAATGGAATTGGTAAAGTGCAAAGAAGCTCTTTTTATCGAAATCTGAAAAAAAACAGACACAGGCGCAAAGCATGTGAAACAAACAGTTTGCTTATACTTTGTAAACAAGAAGCACCAAATATGGGGCGTGCGATAGACTTACCTCCACGTGGTGCACCCTGGTCAACGTATACTCATACGGCAAAAAAGTCTATTATTCGGCAGTTGACTTCCGACTTCAAAACACCATCACCTCACTGTATGTCATATTCGACTACTTCCACAGTACTCACCTCATCTTTTTCACTCTACCTTTGTGTCTCTCTCTTTTACATCTTTGAAATACTCTTCTGTTCCCCTCCCCCTCCCCCTCTCGACTTTTTTTCACTTTGATGTTCCTTCTTCTCTGTGAAGCCTGAAGTCAACTAAAGGGCTTATGATAACTATCAAAATGCCTGCCATTTGATATAAATAAGAAGCACCAAATATGCTGTGATTGAAGAAAATAAACAAAATTATGCGTCAGTTGAGGCCCTCTAAATGATCAGTACAGAGTAAATAAATAAATGAGTTTCAGTAATTATGGAGTTGTAATAGTTATTGATTACCCCAAGAGTATCCAAATTTATTGGATCTGATGTTTTTCAGGTGTTACAGACTTCAATAAAATCGGTATTGTTAGTGAAGAGGCGTCAAGAAGAATGTATTTTGAAGAAAGAAAAGCCGAGTTTATGAATAAAACATTTTTAATGGAGACTTAAATGATGAGTGTTTTTATATCAATTGAGCGTCTTTTAAAACTGTAATATGAAAAAACAATAACTCGTTAATCCCAACAGGTACGAACAAAAAGAATAAGAATCTGGGGTGTAAAATAATGGAAATTGTGGAGCAACTTCGTTGCCAAGAAATAGAATAAACTAAACAAATTACACGATGTCAACAAAAACTAAAAAAAGTTGTTGTTTGAAGCAATTAAGCGATGAATCAGCAGCCCATATACCAGTTTATCAAGGCGGATATTGTGAAACCGATGGGAACTGGTGCACTCCAAGGCATTTGGACGACCAACCACTCTGCTTATTTCTAGCCAATAAGAGTCTTGGCACAATGACGGTTGAAGAACGACGTCTAACTACCCAAGTGAAGTATTGCTGAAAATTCCACAGTGGACTTAAAAGTTCTAGGTCAGGGCTGATGAAGTAAGGATTACCAAAACATAATTTTCATTTAAGTGAAATGAATTTTAGCACTATTCAAGCGGAACCCACTATTGATATCTATTTAAAGAGAATAAAAATAAATTGAATGAGATGTGAGCATCAATAAATGGCTGATACACAATATGATGCACGCACATTTCATTTAAACAAGTAAGGAATGGAGAATAGGGTAAAAAACGCTTCTAGAAATTGAATGCCTTTCATACTGCTAATACAAATATGCAGAGCACTGCTTAAAGGAATAGATAGGAGTGGGGGTGGGGGGGGGGTGTGGGGGGTGGGAGAAATGATGCTCACCTTGATGGAAAGGGCGTACATGTGATTCAACATAACATGATTGGGCTGGGGAAGTAGGTTAGGGTCACACTGAGCGTTGGTATCCCGGTTCAAGATAACCTTTGAAGAAAAAGAATAACAAAGGCGGTTGTTTAGTGAAGAAATGCTATTATTATTAAGTAAATAGTCCTACTCTAAGTCCTTACCTTCCTAGTTGGCACGTTAGAACAATAAAACATGATTTCACATACTCTCTTAAGTTATCGTTTAATAGATGCTAGCATATTTCTAGTTGAAAAAGTGTATCGAGAATAACAGCCAAAAAAACAAAAGGATTTGAGGTAAATCCAGTGCTTTTCCGGCAGTGATAGGAAACAAGTCGTGCATTTCAGGATTGTCACCTCATTACCTCAAAGTAGCGATTCCAAGCTTAAATATTACTGGCCAAGGAGAGTTGTCTACGGGTGCAAAAGAGAGAAAGTAAATAAGCATTTTTTTATCAATGTTTCCTTTCGCCAGTGGCAACCCTACGGCCACTCAATATGCTACCTAAGGCATGACGACTTCTTTTGGCGGGGGGAGCGACGAAACAAACTTCTAAATAAATGAAAAAATTAAATTAATGACTAAATTTCTCAAAATTTAGTTGTAACAATTTAATTGATACTTGCTGGAAAATGATCTCCTAGATACGGAAAATAATAATAATAAGTTTGACATGCCTTGATTTTTTTTGACCTGGTTGAACCAGTAAGAAGGGGAAACTTAGGTCATTCATCAATTTCAGATGACAAATGGCAGTGAAATCATAAACAGCAAGTAAAGGCAGTTTCTCCAAATCTTTTGCACATACTTTCCGATACACTACGTTCCAATTGAACAGACTATCACACGCATGCCTCCAATTGATAGTAGACCTATTGCAATAGGGGTATGCGAAAGAAATAGTGCATAGAAAAAAAAAACCCCAGACGGTTTCAAGATGCTTCCAAAGTTGTACAAACACATCAAGTGTTATAATAACAGCTTCGAGGAAGACCTAATGTAGAGTAAAATCATGATCCTCTTACTTGATCAGCTAATTTTTTTTTGGAATACTGCCACAACCGGAAGACTTACTTATTGCCTCGAAAAGTGCACATAACCAGTTTCCCATAATAATAATAATAATGATAATAATCACATGTTAATGGAGTAGGCAGTATTTGATTGGACTACTGATACTGACTAATTTGCTATGATAACTGCAGTGCATTGAATCTAGGTCAAAGATAAGACATTGCTGACTTCAATCTTTCGGATTTTAGAACTTTCTGGGTTTCCCTCACATAATAAATAAGCCTCATTTTACTTAGTGCTAATGCGATTGTGGTCACGGACAGTGCCTTCGCACATTCACAGATTAATTTAGAATGCTGGAAGCTTTCCCCAAACTAAAGAAGGCCATGCAAACACGCCATCCAAACTCAAGTCATCAAACTTTAATTAGGAAGATTGACACTAATTTAATCAGCTCGAGGAAAAAAGCAAGGGCCAGGGAGGTAAGAGCAAATACTTGAATAGGCAAAATGTGGATAAATGACAACCACATCCATCAAAAAATACATAAAATGCCTTTATCTTACACACGAGAATGCTAAAGGAGCTGGGTTCCAAGACGGAGGGGTTCAAGTGTTACTTCGACTATAAACCCCATGTGATGACAAAAAATCTAACAAAAAAGAGGAACAAAGCTAAACGAAGAAATGGATTTGGCAATTCCTCAAACCCCTCTCCAGAGTAAAAGCGCTCTGGTGGTGAGTCTTGACGTTTGGGTGGCTAAAAACAAACAATACAACTTGGAAAAAGGAAGAACCAAACGACTATGTATAAGTAGAATTTTTGATTACTTGAAATCACCTCATCATCTAGAAAATTAACATCTGCCAAGCAAAACGAATGTATTAAGATGAATAAAATATGCGAGATGAGATTCATTTTAAATCCACCATACCTGCAAGAGTTGCGGTGGTAGAAGTGGAGGTTTAGAGGATTTTGCATCAATTCCGAGGGCATTTGGTGCCGCAGGCTGTGAACCGGGTGGGGAGGTGCCTGTGGTCGACCCTCCAGAACCTCCAGAGAGGGGAGTTGAGTTGGGATTGGGTGGTATCACTTGTCCGTATTCACCCGGGGGTGAACTGCCTGTTGGCACTGCATCCATGTTGGTTAGCGCTTCTATAACATCGAAGTCGGACATGTTCACTGTGATGGTATTGTTCTGTACACCTGTGGCGCTTGTGCTTATGGGCTGTAAGGCAAAACATGCGTTAAAGGTAGGTTTCATGCTACAACAATTTATTATTATCGAATAATAAACAAGCAGCAAGTTACTCTTACACAACCATAGGCAAACATAACAAGTCATGAATAAATGAATTAAGGTGATTTAACAAGAATTCTAATCGTAAAGCAACAGCTAAATCATGGACGTGTTTTGCAAATTACTCCTATGCTAATGCGAAATTGACAACGAAAAAAACAAGTAGTGTTGGAATAGTCGAGTAAAGCGATTTTTGTCATGGCAAGGTAGTTTTATGATCACAAGCCAATGTTGACAACCAAATGAGGCGTAAACAGGGCAGATATTAATTTCAATAAAAGGGGGTGTGCGATAGACTTACTTCCACGTGGTGCACCCTGGGCAACGTATTCTTATACGGCAAAAAAGTCTATTAACCGGCAGTTGACTTCTCACTTCAAATTACCATCACCCCCAACTGTATGTCATTTTTCACCACTTCCACAGTACTCACCTCACCTTTTTTCTACCTTTGTGTCTCCCACTTTTATATCTTTGAAATACTCTTCTCTTCCCTCTCTCTCCCTCTCCACTTTTTTCCTTCGATGTTCCTTCCCCTCTGTGAAGCCTGAAGTCAACTAAAGGGCTAATGATAACTATCAAAACGCCTGCCATTTGATATAAATAAATAAATTTCAATAAAAGAAAATAGTAATCATTCAAGTCAGTCAAATGGAAGCAAAAATGACCACCTATCGGTAAAGTAGTAGTAAAAACAACTGAAAACACACATTCATTTTCCCCTAAC